ATATAAAATTGATATAGCTGCATGACTTTAACTTAAGTTGTAATTTTTTTGGCAAAGTCCTCAAAAACCAATTCGTCAATTCAATAATTGACTTACTTCATTGTTATTAACGTAATAATGAATTTATCCTACGGAGGACGAATTAAATATTTCGAAGTAGGTCTCGGAGAAACTTTCACAGATATGTTAAACAACAAGGTTTTCAAAAAACAGAATGCATGATTTCATAGAGAAAAATTTGCTCCTCATACTTTGCAAAAAAACTTATACAATAGGAAATCAAAGGATGATAGAATGATTGAAGAAGACGAATGTATGTCAAATATAATCGACTAGTCCTTTCTGACTCGATGTCTAATGAAGATGTAGTCTATTATAATATGAAAGCTCAAAACAACTATTTGCTTTAATTAATAAAGGCGTATTCAGATTTTATTAATCCTATTTGATATTGAAAAAAAACACAATATGTCAATAGTTTAGTATCGAGTAAATTAAAATGCATACGACATGAATAGTTTTATGCTTTTTGTCTAAATGTAGGCGAACATTTGCAACTCAGAAGGAGAATGTTTTTCATCAATATTGATTTACACTTATGGGCGGATTTAAATGTATGCACTGACTGAAGCAGTACTATGTAATTCAATGGTAGCAAATATATTGTCGTCTATAGCAGCCAGTCATGAACACAATTCTTCATAGGGTAAGTTTAGTTCCGATTAGGAAAATAGAGAATAGTTCTAGTTTGCATGATATATTCATAGTTATACCTAGCATTCGATCTGGTTAAATCGATCAGTCTTTTCAGACGTAGCATCAATTAAAGATGCCGTCGTCACACGTTGCACAGTGCTAGTACAACATGACTACTAAGGCAGACATCACTATATTTCAATGCTTAAAAACGCGTTAAAATATGCACTTTCTACATTGAAAAGAAAAGGATTGTATTTTTTTTGAAAAAGCAAATTTGTAGGCATTATCTTCAAATTTGCTTTTCTTTTTCAAAAAACAATTTATTTTGAAAACATAAAAAGCATAAATTTGAATGCATGCAAATGCAGCATTTTATTTATTGTATTTGGTTGTGTAAGAATGCATTGAGTCCAATTCCATGGATCGATAGACTTTTCTTCATGAAAAAACATGAGTTCAAGGTTCATTCTGAATCTATACTAGAGTTGGACTCATTTTGATACTATGACACATTCTATTTATTTCATTGCTTGCCGGTTTATTTTCAGAAGTCCAAAAAAGTGCATGTCATGTGTTCCACTGTTGATTCTATCAAGATTCAACTTGAACTTTTCATGATTTCGATTTGATACGGACAAATAACCCAGTGAAAAATATTTTGAAAAAACGGAACAGAATGGTTTCATAAAAATATGGAAACCTTTTTTCTATGTAAAGAATGCGTTCCTTTTGCTAGTGAATGCGTTCATATTCAAGAAGAAACACTCTCAGTCTGAAGGAACTCGTTCTTTGCCGTTCCACAATAAGACAGAATGCTTTCTTTTCTATTGAGAAGTTGTTCTCTATTTGAAGGGAAAGCATTCCGAACCATTCGTAAACCAATGAAATCCATCCTAGTTCATTCTCTTTCGGAACGGCACAGATAACAATCCATCGAAATAAGATCGCTTTCTTTTACGTTTTCTTGAGAAGCATTAAAAGAATGAATTCTTCTAAGTGATGAATACTTTCTTTTGGAATTAAAGCTCATTTCAATTCAAAAATCAAAGATCTGAAGCAAAGCATGTTGAAACTGATGTGAGAAATGGTGGAACCTTCAGCTAACTATTCTCTGGGGATGCTACTTCTGATTTAGAAAAAGCATGATTTTAATAACGGTTTGAGTTACAACGATTTGGAGCACGCCATTCGGTCGAGCTCGTCGAGTTACCCCGGAAATGATCTTTTGACGAATTAAAGATTTATCCATTAATGATTAACCATATGATCAAGAAAGTTACTTTCTCTTAAGAAGAGAAAGCATTTCAAAAATGATGGAATGCTTTGTTGATCGTTCCGTTTTGGTATCGACTAAGAACACATTCCAAAAGTGATAGAATGCGTTCTAGACCGTTCCATTTTGGAATGCTTTCCATTTTTTTCGGAACGTTTTCTTTTCTTAAAAAATGGGCTTTCAATTTTTTGGAACGCATTCTCAACAGTTATTTTTTACAAATATTTTTCACTGGGAAGATGTACATAAGGAACGATATAGATGAGTTGTATTCAACTCTCTTAATGCATTGTGAACATAGCTACGGTAGTGTCAAAGTCAAAGTTGATCTAAGAATTCAAAGTACCCTGAAGAGACTGCGATGACAACAAATGTTTCTTTTTGACATATACAAGAACACATATATGTTTTGCTAATCTTGCATGTTGTCATGAAGTTTCATCATACATCCTTGCATCCCTTATTTAGTTACTCTACTCGATAGTGCAACATCTACAGGTCCATGAAGTAAAAAATGAAAGAAAACTTTATTTAAATGATGATTTTCATCCCATGACCTTGATTATATGTAAAACATCAATATTATTACATCAGTTTCATTACATTTACAACACTTCATTGTAGACCTGTGATTTTTTAACAAAAATCGAAGTATTCCATTAGTTTCATTCTAGTTTCATTAGAATTACCAACTTTTTACAAAGTACTAGATGAGTTAACTTCTCATTCTGTTTTTCAGTAAAAATTAAATTGATCAATGACTTGAATATAACATACCTGATGAAATGCCATGTTGTTTTTATCAAATACATAGTGAAAAGTGAATAATTTAAGTTTATCTATCCATTCCTCTTTACAAGTACTGGTTTTACAAAAATGAAATGTTTCAGGACAAGAAGTACGTATGTCGTGCGCTATTTATATTCCAAATACTTCTCATTTTATAGCAAGTATAAAATAAATAACACGTTTCAAAATTTTACTTAACAGCCTCTGGAAGAGTGCAGAACCTGACCTTTGTAGAAAGTTCAAGTAACTTAGCCCTTGTGACTCTGCAGAAGACTCAGGTGAAAAAAAGACTACACAATCATCACACTATATTTTCGATGATATAGCTTTGATGAAAATTTAACGTTGTTATTCGCATTACTTTTTTTCTTAACTTGTAATGACTGTCATAGCATTAAAATGATGTTAAATTCAGGATTTTTCACAAGTGAAAATCTCTCGAAAACCATCGATGAATTTGAAAAATATGCATATGTTTGTTCGTTCCATCATTAGCAATGCTTTTTTTTTCTAACATCGGTCATCTTTTCTCTGAGAGGAAAATTCCATTAAAAGAGCATAAAATACATTATTCTTTTGTATACTTCTACTTCATAGGGACAGTTAGAACAATACGCTTATACAGCTAGTAGAGTAGTTTGTTGCTTTTCTGCAATGAAAATAGCATGACTTCTTATTGAACTAATACGATAAAATACAATATGAGCATTTATGGGATAATTTTTCTGTTGCTCGAAAAAAATATTTATATGTTAAAGGTGTATGCAATGTAATCTATTATATATGTTTTTATATTTTAAAGATAAGTTTTCAAAAACATGTTGTGGTTGACATTCAGTATATTATATGGAATTGTTTGTTTGATAACATGTCAAATAACAGCAATCAGCGCTAATAATACTATTATCAAAAAAACAGCAAGATTGGGTTCTGCTTCAGCCAAAACTCCTTTATTGTTTGATCATATATTCATTTTGGTCATGGAAAACAATGATTACAGACAAACATTAAGGTCTTCTGCTTGGCAGCCTATTATTCGAAGTTCTGCTTTGTTCACAAACATGTATGCAATCACTCATCCGTCTCAACCAAATTACATTTCTATGATCGCTGGCTCAACACTAAATCATAGAGACAATAATTATTTTTCTACAAGTGAAACGACAATTATTGACTTGTTAAACAGAGCTCAAGTCAGCTGGAAAAGTTATCAGGAAAATTATACATCACTTCCTACAACAACAAGTCCTAATTGTAACGATAAGATGGAGCTTTCGAACAGTTTATATGTTCGAAGACATAATCCATTTATGTTCAGTACGACAGTGAGAAACAATATAACTGAATGTGAAAAAATAGTCAATGCAGCTCAATTGGAAATTGATTTAGCAAATAAAAAGTTACCTCAATTTTCCTTCTACACACCAAACAATAAAAATAATGCTCACGATACTGATCTCAATTATGCAGGAAATTATTTACAAAATTGGTTGAATATTCATTTAAACAATCCTGCTTTTATGAATGGAACATTATTAATTGTAACTTTTGATGAAGATAATAATAATGCCGATCGAACTAATCATATACCAGCGTTTATGTGGGGAACAGATTATTTACATTCTGGAGTCAATATATCAGGAACATTCAATCATTACTCACTTCCAAAACTGTTAGAAGAGAATTGGGGATTGGGTAGTTTAGGTCGTAACGATGTCACAGCGCCTTCACTAATGGACATTTGGCGACCGACTGTAAATTCGAACAATGCAAGTATTGATACAACTGTCACTGGTAAAGCTAGTCGTAATGCCATCATTCGAAAGCTACCCGTCGTTATTTGTTATCTATTGATTGTTATAAGTATGATTTACTGATTCGAATTGAATTTTAATGAATGACTCCGTCCTAGGACTGAACTTGGGTGACTATCAGAGAGGCTTAACGAAAAGTCATGCGTAAAATTTTCGACTATAACCATATTTTCAATGCAACCATTGAAGGGTGTTGTTTAGCAGGATTCGGATGTTTTTTCCATTTTTCTTCTCTATTCTGAATAAAACTCAAAGAATATAAAATACAATAAGAGATTTTTTTAAAAAAGTCACTTTTCTCTTGGCATTATTGATGTGCTTCTATTTGCGTTCATTATCTTAATGTGTTCATTTTGAATTCAACGATATATATTTCATTTGTACTGTTTTTGTAGTGTAACTAGAACGTTCAGAAAAACTTTTCAAAAGCGAACTCTTAATAGTTTGTTAGGAATCTTGAAAGTTCTGATAGTTAAAGTTCAGAAAAAATGGCATTCTATGTAAATTTTTGTTTTCATCATTAATTTAACGTTCTAATTGAAGTTGAGATTGGAATTCAGTGTTTTACAATAAAGTGATTTTGATATGTAATATAGGTTATTTGTATGTAATTGATAAAGTGTACTATTGAATATCAAGATACCAACCTTTATATCTCTGTATTCAACTACTCTTCTAATTAAAGAACTTCAACGAACGTGAGGTTAAAAATCACTTTTGAAACTTCTCTATTGTAGAAAAGTGTCTCGGACTATAGAATGATATGGGTGGTGACAATGTGAGGTTTGAGCTTAAGTATTGGTGAGTGCAGATGTCAGTGAATGCGCTTACAGACATCTATGTGTTGTGTCTTTACACTCACATCCATTTCCCATATTAGACATACAAACATCTACATAAACAGAATCCAAGCTAAAAAAGTTCTCAGAGATTCCCGTAGCACAACAGTTTTCAAAGCTTTTTGATCTTCTGTAAAATAACATCCATTATCGTTTTTAACATGGATTTGTGTTTGTGTAGGGTGTAAATAAAGGTAGCGCATTGAGACAGTACTTGCTAAACTTTTGTAGTTTGAAAGTAAGATATATTTTAATGAGATTGTACTTAATTTTGGTTATCAATTCAATAAATATTTCGTCTGAAATTTTATCGACTCACCGTACCTGCACACGCACACCCATACATACCTCTAATGCTCGGACAATCTTGATTATGTATGTGTTAGTTTATTTTATTTTACGTCAAGCGGAAAAGTCACGAGAAAATTTTCGAGAAATCTTTCCAAGTACATTTCAACGCTACATATTTAATTATTCCGTGTTTTCGGCGACATCGGATTCAACGTTAAATGGAACAACTGCAATACTGAGTGGTGCAATCGAACATTGTCTCTTATCGTTGTTTTTGCTATTACATAGATCTTTCTCATATCGAATAAGTTGTATAAAAAAGCCAAAGTTAGGTGCAGCAATGCGTCGACGAGTGACCAAATGTTCATAGGCGTCTGGCAAGGTGTCATGATGGTACCTAAAATATTGAATCAAAGATCTGTTTCCAGAAACAAATAGTAATCTTACTTCAATAAATAAGCAAGAACGATCGACGAAGAACGAGAAATACCCATCTGACAGTGAACAAGAACTTTCTCCTGCTTAGATTTACATGTGTCCAAAAACTTATTTGTTTTGTCAAAGTGTTGGCTAATATTGAAACTGAGTTCATCGTTGAGTTTGATCCATAACACGTCAAAATTCTCAACTATTTGTTCGTCCAAAGGAAAATCACATACGTTAATAATATGTTGAATGTCAAGCTCCTTTAGTAAATTGATATTATTAGCATGTCCTAAATCGCCATGATACAGAAAATCGTCAATTATCATAGATGGCTTTCGAGCACCTTGAAGATTTTTTGAAGATTCCCTCTGTTTTGATTTAAGTCCGCATAAATGTTTTAGATAGTCAATTTCTTCATCCGTTGCTTGAAGGTTTTCCATTAGGTAGCTTTTCATCACATCAATCATCCAAACGTTGGATCTAATCGTGGTACCGGCCATTTTTTCCTAATTGATAGATTAATTTCAATGTCGAATAAAATCTAAAAGTGTTAGAAAATACGATCGTTTGATCAGAATGCAATGTGCAACAAAAAAAAAATTCCGTTCTCTTCTTACTTAGATCTGTCGCTGCTTGTTGTGAAATTGTTCCAATTAAAAGAACTTTCCTTTATCGAGCAGTAACAAAATATATCTGTTCCAATACGCTTAAACTGTTTATTGAAATAAATCCTTAACTACATGTATTGTTGATGAGCAATACTTAGAATATCATGATTTCTAAGTGCATTTAAGAAAAATACCTAAGAGAGAACAGAGAGAGAAAGAATCAATCATATGACAGAGATGAAAAATGTATATGATGTAGAGAAGAAGAAAATCATGCTATATAGAAGTACGCGCAAAAGTGACAGATGAAAATCGCTGTTTAAAATACTTCTTAATTTTGTTGAATGACGATTCTTTGCTTTACCGTTTTTTTGTCTGTTCTCAATATTTTTATGTGTCAACATAATGCCCATTTATGGCAATGTTAATAAACCTCGTGTGATTGAATCATCAGCTCTATGAGTCATCATCTTACAACAATACTATTTGGCTGACAAAAGAAAACGAAACATCGAGTTTTTTTTTTTTGATTATTCATCCGCGTTCTTATCATTTGATCTTACAGTTAAAATCAAGATAGACGGCTTGTTAACCAAACTTATGAAAAGTTTCAGCCAAAACTAGTGAAAATCGTTGAAAAATCTGGAAACGTACCCCATCTAGCATGGTGTGAATGAAATAAAAATTTTGCTATCGAGCATCTCTAACGATCATGTATAGTTCATTTTGGAATTCAACGATGATGGTTGAGAGAGTAATATAGGTGGGTTGAGATTGGCAACATTCTTCATCATATTCATTTACTTCAAAAGAAAGCATAGAGATACAGCAATAGAAGCAGACAAATTTTGTCGCAGAGACTTGAACGGCAATCAAAGTATATATTTGTACTAAGATGAAAACATTTTTTAGGGTGCTAATCGTTTTTACACTGTGTCTATGTTTAATCGATATGAACTAGTTAGTAGACGTATACTCTTAAGTAGTTCGATTTCTTGGGCTTTGATTGCTCAAATATTATTTCCCAAGTCAGCATGTGCGCTATTGATACGGGGTACGGTACGCTTGTGCGCATTGGTGCACCTAGTGTCACGAGTGACGTAACGCGTACTGTGATGTACCGATGCGTTCATCACTAGTTCGTGTGACGTACGTGATGTCGCGTCCAGTGGAGAGGCCGTCTATCCACATATATGGTACCAACAACAAAGGCATATCTATATAACGGACATCCTTTTTGGAAAAAGAATAAAATCTGAAACGATTAGTTTTTCTCATAAAAATATATTTTATATATATACTTAAAAATATTTCATTTATATTTTTCTATGATTTTTTTTAATATAAATTAAATATTTAATTTATTTTTTGATTCTTTTTTTTAGAATGTATATTAAAGTATTTAATTAATTTTTTTTATAACTGTTTTTACAATCTATATTAAAATATTTAATTTTTTTTAATAATATTTTAGGGCATATACTAAAATATTTATTTTATTTTTTTAATAATTTTTTAGGATATGTACTAAAAATTAATTTATTTTTTTATATTTTTTTTAGGATATACATATATATAAGTATTGAATTTTTTTTTTATAATTTTTAGAATATATATTACAATATTTAACTTTTTTTATAATTTTTTTAGAATATATATAAAAAAAATACACTAAATATTTTTTTTATAATATTTTTACAATTTTTTTTATTAATCTAATTGTTCCAGATTTCTTCTTCATCCTGTATTTTAGACGAAATCAAGATGAAGTTGATCAAGGAACTACTTCTCTCATTGCTGAAATAAACAATGAATTAAACTGTCAAGATCAGTTCAATGATGAACAGGATGATGACGATGATTATTATTGATATTTAATTTGTGTTAAAAGTTATAAGATTTATGCTACTTATTTATTTTATAAGTTATGTACATGAAATTATGTTGCAGCTTTGTCACAACTTAAAGTTCATTCTTTTGCATCATGAAATAGGAACTGTCACACTTATCCATCTGTACGTTATTCAGAAAATTTTAATTTTATATTGGTTTTCTTTATAAAAGTTGCAAATATCATGATACATTTATCTGATGTGACATTTTGTCATTTTTTTTTGTAAAACAAATATTGAATTTTTTTTCTTCCAGTCATTGTTGTTGTCTACTCAAGTGTTTTTAGTTTGACAATCATTTGAACGAAATAAAACATTTTTTTAATTGTGAAAATTAAAATAAGTCTCTCATAAATGAACCAATGGTAAAAGAAAAGGAAAAGCGAACGTCGCTAATGGTACGCGCACACGTACGTACGCGTGACAATCCGTGCGCGTACCGAGCGTCTCGCACGTCACGCGCACGTGTGACGCGCACGGTACGCGTACTAATGGCGCACGGGCTGACTTGGGTTGTTTCGTGAATTTCTTCAAGGTTCTAGTTTTCAAGAAAAATGATATTTTTGCATGTTGGCCTAAAACGTTGTTCACATAAAGGCTTCAATTAAAATAATTCGTAAACGAAATTTCAGAACTTTTCAACCAAAAAATTCATACATCAAAGAAACTTTGTCGAAAACTCTTTAGTGTTTTTTTGAAGATGTTCTAAGTAAGAATTTCATATGGACAAAGCCTTAGTTCATATTCCAAAAGAATGATTTTTCTCAAAAACTAGAATCCAGCAAAAAAATTCATTAGTCATTCAATATCTCAGCAATCAAAGTCCAAGAAAGCGAACCACACAAAATTGTGTACCTAGTTACAAGACTCTATCAATTGAAGATTGTCACAGTTCAAAAAGTAATAAACTAGTCAAGAAATTTTCGTGCTAAATCATCATGAATACGTGACTTCTGTCGTTGATAAAATGAAAGTTTTCTTTATTGTTTGCCAATTACTGATATATTACTCATTCGAAAATATTCTTCTCAAGACACTTTTATAGAATGAAGTTGAGTGAAAATGGATACCAAATTTTTTGAGCAGAGAAAGATTACAATTGGAAAGACCATCTTCACATAAGCGAAACTTCATTTATAAGTCTTTGATTTTTATTCAATACACTTCTACTCGATCTTAAATTGTCCATTCTCACTTACTTTTTCATTTCCAGATTTCGCAAGTCATTAACCAATTAAACTTATTAAAAGTTGCAATCAATGAAGAAATGACCGAATTCGGATTTTCAGTGCTCATCGCAACATTTCGCAGTAATAAAAAAGTTATTTTATAATTTCTTTTTACGCTTTTGGATTGCTGTTCATAACGAGATAATAATAGCGAAAATGATCATTTTTATGCTCTAAGCTTAGAAGAAAAATAGATTTCGTCCTAGTATCCAACCAGCCCTACCTTATTAGCCGTATGATCATTGAATATGAGACAGTTGCACAGACATTCAATGAACTGTGTATTAGAGCTCTCAAATTCTTGAAAAGAAACGCTTCCGTGTGAGCTTAAATGTTGAAAGTCATCGGTGAAAAATTTATTTATTGAAAGACAAAAAAAAGAGATCGGCTCTAGAACAATTGTGAACACAAAGTCAAATCTAAAGCATATACCTGGAGATTATTAGAACTGAATCTTTTCTAAAATATAGACGAAATTCACTTTACATTTATAAGTTTATGGTTTTGAATGATATATTCTTAATCATCGTTCGTTAAGGATTGTCGTTTTTCTTGTCTGTTAATTGTCCTAGTGGTCTTTCAAACTTGAGTTCAAATGCGTCTTCACCACTAAACATACTTGTATCCACATACCATTTACCTGTAAACTGGCGTTCATCCGGATTCCACGTAACTTCAATGGTAACCTGATGTCCTAAATTCTCATTAGAATCGCCTGTGTTTGATTGATATGTTTTTATGAGCTCAATTTCATTAGTTTTCGTAGAATATTTGCCAGTAACAGTGTATACACCGATTTCGTCCGATCCATGTCCATTGACTGTAAACGACTCAGAATAAAACGACAATAAAAACTCTTGCGGCTCATGCCACTTTTCGTATTGATAATATCGACTTGACCAAACTCCTGATTGAAAAATATCTACATTGTCTACTGAAGTCTCCTCAGCTGGTACGCTGATACCCTTCGTAGTTGGTGTAGATTTTGATGAGCTCGCTAAACAACAGCCGCAAAGACAGCAACACATGATAAGTATAATGAATATCCATCCCATTACGTAACCCACGTTGTTTATTTTTTCGCTGCAGTCACTAGTCACGCATGGTTTTTCTTCATTTCTATGATAATTTCTACCATAATTATCTCCTGTAACGAATTAATGAGTATCAATAATTATCGAATATGATAACATATTGAAAATACTCCCAAAAAAAAATTTTTTTAAATTAATGAGGCATGACGCTAAATGATATTAAAGTATTACGCCTTACAGAGATGGAAGTAAAACTTGAACATCAGAGAGAAAGTGAAGAAGTTAAAATATTTTTGAATTCATGAGTTAGTTTTTAGTAGTTTGAAAGAAAAAATTAGACGTGACCGAAGAAAGAGCCGCAACTTTAGAAAAAGAAGTCAGAATCAATTCTTGTCTTTAATCAGGTAAAAATGAGCATCTTTCAAGGCTGTGAAGTTAAAAAAAAAACGATAATTTTTCAACATTGGAAAGAAATATACCCCATTCCTTGTTAACTGTACACCTGATTACAAAGATAAACGAATATAAATTTTACTTTCTCTTGGATAACCCCAAACGTCATTTTTATGATCACTACTGCCACTTCTATCACCTTCACCACCTCCTCCTTGACCATGAAGGACAGCTGCTAACAATAAGCCAGTAAAAAGTATTCGAACGCCAATTTGCATCGTGTCTAAAATAGAGAGAGAAAAGACTCAAAATGGTTTGTGATGTTTGCAATTTGATAAACAAGTGAACATGGCTAAAGCATTTATTTTGTATGAAATGAAAAAAAAAAACAGATATCAGGTCCATATTCTTCCGCTTTCTAATTTTGTCATCGATATTGCACCATAACATAAAAACTGATTTCTACACCTGAATAAATCAATGCTCCTTGTGATATCCCATATTGAAACTATATCTGGCAATGGAAATAATACAAATTTTTCAACAAATCCTTATTTTCATTAATGAGACAAACGAAACAGTGAAATTGTGTTTTTTTTTTCTGTTGCATATTTTTTATACACACGTTTTACCTGGTAAAGGTAACACATAAATTGAAGCGACAACCTATGTTCTATGTATCAATGTACATAGAGAATACCAAACATAAAAAACAAAGTTATTTTTCTTTATTTCATGATATGAGTCGTGAAGAAAAACACAGAACAGAAAATAAAAAATAGTGAGACAGCTAATGTAAATTAAATTAGGTCAACATTTCACACTGCATAGAAACACTTTGACATCACAGCATCTATCTCTGCATTCGCATTTTACTTTTGACTGATCCAATAGTTCACAATAAAAACAAACATTCGTTCAATCATTGCAACAACGATTTCTTTCGTGAAGTTTACAATGAGCAAGCAAAAGTTTCCTGTCCACACATGAATACTGTCGATGACTCTTTCACACAAAAGGTTATTTTATTCTTAAATGTTGACATTTTGTTTGCGATTTTCTACCATTTTATGGATGAGAAAAAGCTGTACAATATATATATGAAATCAACTTCGACTATCTTAACATGATCCTACTGCTACTAAAACATTGCCAATATCACACATTTCTTTAGTAAGAAAAATGGCTAGTTCTCAATAGTTTATTTCGAATAAAAAATGAACTAGTCTGATTTTGTTCAGCTTTTAAAGCTGTCTTTTGATATGTTGTGTTAATAACTTCGGTTCGAATAAGAAGAGAATCGATTTTTTTTGATTGTTCGAATTTCTGGAAGAAAGTGAAAATCTATAATCGTACGTAAGCTTTTTTCGTATTGGATGTGGATGTAATATCTTTTATATCCATGCATATACTCATTTCATATCATCCATCTTGAGTATTAGATTTGATTAAATGTTTTTTTTTCTCTTCCATTCAAAACTTAGATTTACAATTCTTTCTCATTCTCAGTTTTGAAAAAAAAGATAACAACTTCGACTTGTTGGTTCACCTTTACTTTAAAACTTACCTGTATAACTAAGACAAGGGTCTTGATTCTCGTTATTTTCTCTATTGTTTTCTGCTTCGATGAGACCAGTAAGGTTACCTTTTTTTCCAATAAGAAAAGGTCTTTTCTTAATCACTAAGCGATTCGATGCACTTTATTTAACGAAGACAAAATCGACTTTACAGATCTTTCAGATCGATGACTTTCATTTTCTATGAAAGCAGTATATACGATTTATATGACCTTGTATATTAATTATTCAAGATTTTTATCTAAATCCTAAATACATCGAATTAAGAATCTATATTTCGATAGAGTATTCAATGCCAATAAAATTATGAATCATACTGATTCATTCTTGATAAAACACACAAATAAGAATAGTTATTGTTTTTTGTTTTGAAATAGTCGCAATAAATGAATAAAAAAATGATATATGTTTGATTAATTTATTTCTTCAATGAATTCTTCATCATCTTCTGCTAATTCTACTTCAATTTCCCATTTACAACCAAAATAATGTACACTTAAAATTTTTAATTTTGTTCCAACAGCTAACAAAGCTTCTTTTTCTTCTATAAATGTACTCCATTTCCATATATTTGCAAGATTTTTCTTTGCTTCATTAGTAGAATTTTCAGTTTTTAAAATTAATAAAGTATTACCTGTATAAACAAGTAAACGATCAATTGTAAATGATGTAAATGAATTTGTATAATAATATTCATTTTTTTTATCAATATAATATTGAATTTCTATATCACTTAATGTTAAACCACGATAATAAACATGTTTTATATTTGTTTGAATTAAACCTCGTATTAATGAACGTAATTTATTAACATAAATCCAATCAATTTCATTTAAATTTTCACTTAATAAATTTAAATTTGTTTTTATATAACATTTATTTGAAAGACTATTTGTATATGATTTTAAAACATTTAACATATCATCAGTAAGTTCATCTTCATTGATTATTGTTGGATAAACTTGTTTAAAATATGATCGATATGGATTATTTGTTAAAAGTTTACAATTTAATAATTTTGTTTTATAATCATAATGAAATGAATCTGTATCATAATTTTTTGTTATAGATGCAAGTTGTTTTGGTAAATAAGGACTTGTATCAGCATCAAAAATACATTCCATCATGTATCATGTAGACGAACATAAAAAAAAAAACTGATGAATAATAATATATCGTACTTACATAAAGATTGTGCAATATGAAAAAAGAAAGAAAGAAGAACAGATGACCTATATATATATTTTTTTTGTCAAGCAAAACTATACTCTGAATAATAAATTTTTTTTTTTTTTGTTTTGCTATTCTTTCTGATTCATTGATAATAATATTTATTTTATGTTTCGTAGCGCTTTAAATAGAATTGTTTATTGAAGTTAGTGTATAGTCTTTTACAAATTTTATTTTCTTATTATTTATATTGCAGAGTATTGTTTATCTTATTGTACCTGTACATAGATGGTTAACTTGACGACATCGTTTTTTTTTACTAAGCAAAACGTTTTTGCTTTGGTGTTCTTGTAAAATTCTGAAACAGTTTTTGTAAATCATTATTGAAAACTGAGTCCCAAAAATTTAACAGACGACGATGTCTATTAAATTTATAATTTATTATATTTCAAGATAAAACAATTTCACAAAAAAAAAAAGTATTATTCACGATAAAGAAAGAAATCCTAAACTTTTTTTTGTTCACAATCAAGAACCATTCTAATTATTTTATTGAATTAAAAGTTGGTTTAAATACTAAATTACTAACACATATAGAATCTCTTTTAGTTTGTTCTTCAAATAATTTTAAATTATCCATACTTTCTTGTAATAAAGGATTTTTAAAATCATATACAACTATATTTAAACCAGGAAAATTAAATTCTAATAATTCTTTTAAATTTTTTAATAAATTTGCATGTGGTGCATATGTTCCTGACCAATTATCAAATACTAATTCCCATTCATCATCACAACGATTCCATCCATATTTTGGACGTGGATGAAATTGACCAGCATAACGAACATATTCTGAACAATTAGCATGTAATGCATGTTTACTTGCATAATCAGTAAAAAATCCAATACCTGTTTCACTAAATCTCCATGTATTATCATCAATAATATATGTATAAATACATGTACGTATTTTTTGTGTTTTATCATCAAAAAAAATTAATTTCCATAAATCATCAACATTATTTAATCGTCCACTTTCATTATTTTTTATTGTTCGTCCATAAAGTATTTTATGTGCTAATTTAAATACATGTTGTTTAGCTATTGATCTTGGAGTACCACTAAATAATGTTTGTGCTATACGATATTTTCGATTCCATTGTTGACGTTCATATAATGGAAAAAATACAGATATTCGTCTTAAACGAATTTTCCATGTTGAATAAATAGCATCTTGATTAAGCATAGTTAAATAACCAACCGTTGGTGAATTATGTCGACTATAAGTACAAGGACCATCGAATGTATAACGTGGAAGTTTTTTACTTGATTCAGATGATTCTATTGATTGAATAGTTAAATGAAATTGACCTCTATTTCTATCTAATAAACCTAAAATTTCATGACCTTCAGATGGTGCTTGATAATTTGGTAAATCAGTAATTTCAACTTGACCAATATGATCATCACTAAGTGAATCATCATCTTTATCATAAATATTTATAGTAAGTTTAGCATTTAATGGAACATTTCGAACAATCCATTCTTCATCATTCCATTCAGGTGATAATGTATTACTTACAACCATTGATCTATTAAAAATAGAACAATAAATTAGAATATAAAAATTTTTGTACACTTGCGTATATGAAATTTCTTCATCAAGTTTTGCAATAAAATATGTATCACTTGTACCAACGAGATCCATTTTTGGTAAATTCTATAAAAAAAAATGAAATATAAAAAAACAAAAAAAAAAAATATGAAAACAAACTTCAGCAGAAAGAAATCGAATAGTTAAATCTTGTCCAGTAATTAATTGTTCATATGCTGGTGGTATTATGGTAGGAAGTATTTGTTTGAAACCACATAAAATAGAATTTAACGACATCAAGGACTGATTATTGGCAAATATTAGTCACTTGCTTTGCCGCTTTTTTTTCTTTGCTATACTTTGAAATAATGACAATAGTACACCCGACATAATATACCACATTTCTTTTTTTTTCTTTCTCTTTTTTGTAGGTTATGTTTATATAATGTAATACAATGCTTGATTATTGTATCTTATCACCTGTAATCACTTACATTGTGTTTACATCGTCTTTTTCTTTTTCATGACAAAGAAAATAAAAAAGATCATATTATGCGTATTATATGTCAATGATACGTTCAAGCATATGTACCATTAATGTTTAATAAGATAAATTAAAACGACTAAAACACATGATCATGGGTATGATTAGAGTTTTTTCTTTTTTTACAAGTTGACAGCTATGATTTATTATGTTTTTTAAGATAAAATATTGTGTAGGTGTATACGAATGAGTCTTGTTTATGTCAAAAATTTGAATAAGTCCTTTATGATTGCGTCTATGTGACTAATATTCATAATTGCAATATGCAAGAATAGTGTTATAAGCACTCTTGATATTATCTATGAGTCAATATAAAAATTTACTCAAAAGTTTGAAATTTTGTTTTTTTTGTATTTTCCTTTTAGATAAGTTACTATATTGCGTTGTAAATAACTAAATTAGAAATAAAGAAGGAAACTTTCCTCAATGATTCAGAGCTTTTATACTTATATTTTTACTATGAGTATAAACCTGTGAGAAAGAAAAAAGACCTAATAGGATAAGGATACATATGTCTTTTTTTTTCCCGAGTTATTAATATTTCATTAGATTAATCATTCATAATAAGAAACTTACCAAAACCTCAAAGTACAATATTTCGATCAAAAAATTTTCTAGCACATATAGAACTTATGATCATAATACCAATCTATGTTCTTTCTTCGGACATTAGGTCGAAGAATATGAGTGTATAAATAATTTTTTTCGAAATTTTTAATTTAAGTTTTCTCAGCTTACTATGATTGATTGCCAGTGATTTTAGTGAAGTTTTATAAAAATTCCATGTCGTCGAACTGAAATATATAGAATAAGAAGATATTGAAAAACTATCACTAGATTCGAGTTTTTTCGTTTTGTGGTATAAACATTTCCTAACCATAGAATCCGAATGCAGTATTTTTAAATTTATTTAACCTATAGCTAATTTTTCGTATTGATGTTAACGATTAACGAAAAATCAATTAAGCTATACTTTAATTTAGTTGTTGAAAAAAAAAATGCTCGACTCTTATTCTATGTTACTAATTATTTTCAGTTTAATAATAACTTCTCTTCTCAAGATTTATTATACGAAGTTTATTAATCGAATTCGATTGTTCTATTAAAATAATCAGTGACATAAGTCTAGCGAAAACATCAAAATCTTAAATTGAAAAATTTTGGTATTAACATATGCTTACTCATGGTTAATGCAAATAACATGAAGATACGATGTTCATTAGTCGTAAAACACTTTTAAGTTAACAACAAAACAGTAAAATTCAAAATCTTGAATCAAATATAAGTAAAATGTTTAATTTAATGAACGCCGAATTTTTAGACGTAACTGTGGTTCATCTTATTAGATTTGTATATGAGTAGCAGTTTTTATTCTTGTGTTCTTAATTACTGATTTATTCTTTTCTTTTTGAGTAAATATTGCACTGAATAGATAATACTAGTTCGCTAATGCATAGAGGGAAACTTTCATTTTGATATCGCTTGAGGCAAAAATACAAAGTAGTTTCAAAGAAAAAACAAGGGGGGGGGGGGTCATAGAAACTTTATCATCATAGGACGATTTGAAATATCGATGGGATATCTACATTTATTTCGAAAAATATGAAGAAACTAATTTGAACTTTTTTTTTGAATGAAGAAAAGACGCTTTGTTGATTTTACATATTGGTGAAATATTCTTCACTGTTGCAAGTTTCATCATGTAGTCAAAAAATCACTTGATAAGACTTCGGATAAATTTTTAATTGGTACTTAATATAATTATATTTGATGATCATGTTAGAGAGTTCTTCAGAGAAATATACAAAATTTTCGACATTGATTTTTGCAGAAATTGTGTTTAATATAATTTGTTCTAGTGAGCTGCTTATTTTTTCTTCGATAAATTCTCTTTCGGATGATAGATGAAGGATTTTAGATTTGAATTTTAACATCAAAACAATCATAGATTTTCTACAAGACTTTGAAGATCCTAAAAATTAAATTGAATTAAAGAAAAAAACAACATATTTCTCATCCATCGCGATAAGATCTCTTTCAAATGAGCCTAGTCTAAGAGAGATATAGCTTGAAGTGTAATAACTGTATTGAAAATTGATTTTGCAGGACAAGGATTAACTTTAACGTATATCTTATTATCATCTATGTCTAAATATATATATACTTCTATGCTCTTTTTTTTCTATTAGTTATAAATGCATTCATTAATTTTGAAGTCTTATATTACTATAAGTTCGGAATTAAATTTATGAAAAAACAATAATATTTAAGTTCTAATAATTCTCTTTTATTTATTTAACAAAGAATGATAAGACTAATCACACATCAATATATCAGGTTTCGTATTGTTTTTTCGTTTATATATATAAACACTTAGTGCAGCAAAAATAACAATAGATAAACCAATACATAAGACAATAATAAGTGCTTGAGTATCTGGTGGAAGTTTTCTTGATGATCGATTTTTATCTAATTGATTAAGTAATAATGCAAGTCGACGACCTGCTTGTGTTAAACGTTGATCAATAAGAGGCCAATTTCGATTAAAATATTCTTCACCTAATGTAAAATTTAATGAAATATTAAGTTTATCATTATTATCATCAAAATAAACTTGTTTACAAACATAAT